ATGAACCATCCAACACTTTAATTTTCTAGATTCAAAGATTGTCTTGCCCCAGACTTCCTTAATTAGAACTAAATGGAACAAGATTAAATTCGTAAGGTGCATGTATAGTCAAGCATAGCCATGATGGGGTAACAGATTTTTCTTCTCACTATAAACAGCTAAAAAACTGGATAAAATATGTGAAACAATTATTTTCAGACATTGTACACCTGGTAGTACAAGACCATGATCCCTGAAAGAGAGAAAATAAATAGGGTGAGTCCTATTACTGTCATGACTTTCTGCCCGGAGGAACTTTCCAGACTGAGGAGGTAGAACCCAGGCAGGGAATGACAGTCTAAGAGGAGGAGACAGCAATCAGAGGCCAAGGCAGCTGGAATTTGTGGAGAGGACTAGCTGAGAGGTAGGAGTTACCCAGGAAAAGAGCACCAGAGAGCTGCATAGGAATTCCAGGGAGTCTTTGGCTGAAGGCTGAACTGGGTGTGCAAAGGGTAAAACTCCAGGAGGAAAGGCAGGAAACGACCACCAGGGAGTTGGACACTCACAGGTCACACGGGACTGGGAACATTCGATTTCTGACCAGCCAGAGGGACGAGACCTGCTGAACCCCTGGGACGCTGGAAAGAGACGTTTGAAAGAGAGGTGTCATGCCTGGGTAGTGGGACTAAACTAGCCCTACCATAAAGCCTACTTACAACTTCCCTAACAAAGTTTAAGAGCAAGCCTGAAAAGGGTCAGGCTGATCAGAATGAACTTAATTACTTGACAAAATGAAGCCAACACTCGTTGAAGAAAGACAATGTAATCCAAACACCCGATGATGTTACCTATGCTATGTCTAGTATCAAATGAAAAATTATTACATGTGCAAAAGGCCAGGAGAGAGATCAGTCAATGGAAAGACCCAGAAATAACATAGTTGACTGAATTGGTAAATAAGAAATTTAAAACAGTGCTAATAAATATGATTATTTATATTAAGGATTTAAAGGAAACCATGAATAAAATGAAATTAAAGATACAAAAAAATGACCTAGTGCTGAAAAAAATAGGACACCTGAAATGAAATATCCGATTAATGAGTTTAATAGATTAGGCACTTCAGAAAAAGATCAGAGACCTTGAAGATATAGCAATTTCCATGTAACTATTGAAAATAACATACAGAGAGGGAAAAAGGCTAAAAAAAGGGAAGAGTCTTAGTGACGTATAGAACAACATCAATTATGTAATATATGTGTTATTAGAATCTTAGGAGAAAAGAAAACCTATCTAAAGAAAGAATGGCTAAAATTTTTCTAAATCTAATAAAAATTATAAACTCAAGGATCCAAAATGTTCATGAATACCAAGTAAGATAAATACAAATAATACACATCATAATCAAATTGCTGATATCAGTGATAAAGAGAAAATCTTAAAAGCTGCTAGAGAGAAAAGGACACATTACATACAGGAAACAAGGAGAAAAAAATTGCTGTTTTCTCATTATTAACAGGGCAAGCCAGAAGACAATGCAATATCTTTGACAACTTGAAAGGAAAACAAAAACCTGCCTAGAATTTTATGTACAGAGAAAATATCCCTTGAAAATGAAAATGAAATAGAGATGTTTTCAGATAATCAAAAGCTGAGAGAATGCTTACTAATAGACCTCTACCCCCCCAAAAAAAAAGTTAAGGGACACACTTCAGGCTGAAAGAAAATTGTATCAATTAACTCCCTGCCCAGATGAATTCACCAAAGGAATGAAAAGTGTTGGAAATAGATACTTCAAAAGTTCATGGAAAAATGGAATTGAAAGATGATACAAATCTTTCTGTGAACTTTTTGAAGATCCCCCTGTATGTGATAAATATAATAAAACTTGTTTTCTCACTTAAAAAAAAAATTATGTGAAAGAAAATTGTTTAATGCAAAAATAATAAAAATGCATTGTGAGGTATATCACACATAGAAGTAAAATATATGGCAACATAGCACAAAGGATGAGATTGAGAAAACTGAAGTATATTGTTACAAAATTCATATGTTGTTTGTGTATTTGAAGGTGAAATGTGATGGGATGATGCTGCTTGTTGTAAACTCTAGAATAACTACTAAAAATAAAACAGAGGTATAGCTAATAAGCCAATGGAGGAAATAAAAGAGAATATTGAAAAATATTCAATTAATTCAAAAGAAGGCAGAAAAAACGGTGCCAAGAATAATAGATGGCACAAATAGAAAATGGAATAGCAAGATGGGATTTAAGACTAGCCATATCAATAATCACATTAAATATAAATGGTCAAATCAAGGTTCAGCAAACTATGGCCCCCAGGCCAACCTCTTGTTTTTGTAAATAAAGCCTTATTGGAACACAGCCAGCCCATCATTTACATATTTTCTGTGGCTGCTTTCTCACTACCTCATGGTTGAGTAGTTGCAATAGAAAACATATTGCCTGCAAAGTCTGAAATATTTACTATCTGGCCTATTAGGAAAACATTTGTTGACCTATGGTCTTATCACTCCTGTTGAAAAACAGTGAGTGTCAGAATGGATATAAAAACAACAAATAAGGCCGGCCCATGGCTCACGCAGTAGAGTGCGGTGCTGATAACACCAAGGCTGCAGGTTTGGATCCTATATAGGGATGGCCGGTTTGCTCACTG